CCCCCCCCCCCCAAATTTCACGATCTTCTGCTCTGGCTTCTGCATTTCTTACAGGGCAATGATCGGGACCTTTTAATTAAACTAAAGGTTTTTTCTTTATGTTTCTTTTTATGCAGCCGAGGTGAGGAGCAAGACGGCTCGCTGGTTGAACAGTTCATCGCCAGGAAGGCGGACATTTTATTTTGTCCATCATGGAAGACCGCCAATCCTCACGAGCAGGAGCACGAGGACGAGGAGGCTGGAGGTCTGCATTGGTTCTCTCACATCTCTGACTCCTTCCTCTTTATGCAGTTCAATTGAGCACTTAACTTTCTCTTTTACTTGTTTAAGGTAATAACAAACTTCACCCATAGTGTGTCCTATGTAAATTGACAAAAGCATACTGATTAATCTAAGTCGTTGCAGTTATACAAGGTAAAAGCTATAGGAAATGTAGTAAAAGTTTGTTTTAGGAGTTGTCCAACGAAATTATCAGTGTTTTTGGACACGTTTGAATATCTGGTTTCTCTTTCAGAGCCGTATGCCATCATGCCCCCTGTGGAGGTCTTCATGGAGCTGCCGTACGAGGAGAGAAGAGCCATGATTTACAGGGATCTGGAGAAAGGAGACATCGTGGTGGGAAGGATCAATAACATCCGAGAATACGGCTTTTTTCTCACCCTGCTTTGCATGGCAGGAGGCCTGAAGCGAGACATAGAGGACCTAGAGTTGTCTGTAAGCCAGCTGTTTGGTTAAATGAATTGTTTAGTTTCTGTCGATGTAATCTGATGTGGTTTTTCACTCTGAACAGGTTTAAACAGCTGACAGGATCCTCAGTTTCCTTTTATTTTCTCACTTTAGGCTCTTTGTCACATCAGAGAAATTCCTTCTTCCAGCAGCCATGATGATCCCTTGTCTTACTATCAGGTCGGGGACCTGATCAGAGGTCAGTAGTCTTCAGATTGTTTTACACTTCTGTAAGAAGGGAACAAAAACAGAAGCACAGGATCTTTTTCTTTTGGTCACGATCCAAACCTCGGCTGGAATGGACCAGTAAATTAAGAGCTTTGCTTTTGGGCTCAACTCTTTCTTCACTGTGACTTCTTGAAGCAACGCCCTCTTTACTGAGGATTAGACCCTGATTTGTCCATCCATCTCATGCTCTTTTTTACCATTACTCGTGAAAAAGACTCCTCCACTTGAGACATCAACTCCCCTTGACACACACTGGGCCTCATGCAAGAACATGTTCGTATTCTTATCCTAAATTTCTCTTACTTTTGTACGAACATGTCACGTCAGATTCAACAAACTCTTCTATCTTCAGGAAAAGTGCCCTTACCAAAAAATAGTATACTTGAAGTTCATTTTAATAAGTATACTTGAGTATAAGTTTAAGTATATCAAGTATATTAGGCACCATGTACT